CCCTCCCTTTTATTACGAAATCTGGAGTAGACGAGATCGGGCTGGCGATAGGACAGAGCTCGACAGGCCGGACTTGACAAGCGGGAGAGGGCGTTCTCCACCTCTTCCTCTTCCTCCTCCTCCTCCTCCTTCTTCTGGTTGTCCGAGATGGGCACGGGAAAAGTGAATACGATGACCAACACTGTCCAAACCCACAGCGGCCGACGTGGGGGATGTGATTTTTGGTCTCAAGCGGCCAGCGTCCGCGGCGACTCCGACTGCAAGTCCTGCCCAGCATGGGCAGAAATATTGATTATCTGGTGAGAACAATCCCCTGGGGATAATAGAGTTCGGATTCCAGGCGGGAGACTCAACTGTTTCCCGAAGATATCGATGTTAGGATGTCTGGATCGCGTTTCGCCTGAGACATCCTCACGATCAGAGCTACGATTGGAACTGTTTGGAGGGGACAACCAATTTCGGCCTCCCCGCCTGCTGTCTACACTGAACCACAGCCAAAATTCCGTGGATTAGGAGAGATGCAAGGGGATGGGGTGGGGGGTGCTTTATTATCCAGGGGTTGGGGTTATGGTGGGTCTCCGTCCGCACTCTTTCCGCACCCTCTCCGGGTCGCACCCGCTGCTCCCGGGGGTGGGCAGGGGTCAGGGGGAAAAGAAACACAGACACAATTAATCGTCGACTCCCAGGAAAATATGCAAAAATATTGGAAGTGGGGGGGAAGACAAAAACCCAGAAAATATACGAAAATATGGGGAACATTTTTATTTGTGTGTATTTATTTGTGTGTCCTAATTTCCCTTTAAGGGGACATGCCCAGACGTCCGACGTCTTGCGTTCCTCCGTGGCTCCCCGGGGGTCTGCGGCTCCTCGTCCTGCGTCGTTTCTGTTGGACTGCCCGTGGGGCCCGGCGGGGGCCCCCAGAGGCCCGAACTTTGAGAATCTAGAGCTCCTAGATGGGGTCGGAGTAGATGGGGTCGGAGGATCGCGCCGCATCGCCGATGCATCAACGATGCGGCTCGATGTGAGGCACAATTTTCCCCACGCCGACGTCGCCGATTCATCGCCAGTGCATCGCGGATGCATCGCGGATGCATCGCCGATGCATCGCCGATGTACGGCGATGCGGCGCGATCTTCCGACCCCATCTACTCCAACCCCATCTAGGAGGCCTCTAGAGAACGACCTTCGGGGGTGGACGGGCCTCCTGCCCTGACGCGTCGATGAAGGAGTGGGCCGTCTCCGGCTCGCGAGAGGGCGTCGCGGCCATCGTTTCTGCGGGCTCAGCTCCGTCGCTTTCCGCCCCAGGCTACACCTTAGGCGATGCTTAAGAAGACTTAAGTTTTCGGCCAGGGTCTCGATTATTCTTAACGTTTCGATGTAAATCTTAAGTTTTTAAAAGACATGTTGGGTTTTTATTCAAGATCTGAGACTGTGAATTTCTTAACCCATGATTTCTTAAGCATTTCGCAGGGTGTATTCTCATTCAGGGGAGGTTTGCTGAAGGGAGGTCTGTCCACCGCCGAGACCTCCGCACCGCGTGCCGCGGAGCGCTGGAGCTCCTGTCCTCCGGGGGGGGACCGGCGCCGAAGGGCCAGGGAAGACGGGCGGGCCTGCGGGCCGCAGGCCGTCTCTCAGGAGAGGAAAAAACACACAGACACAATTAATCCTCGATTCCCCAGAAAATATGGGAAAATATGGGAATTGGGCGGGAAGACAAAAACCCTGAAAATATAGGAAAATATGGGGAATCATTTTCTTTGTGTGTATTTATATTTGTGTGTCCTTGGGCCCCTTGAGTCTCGTCGTCTGCCCCCCCCCCCCGCGGCGAGGCTCAGCTCCGTGAAGGAGGAGGCCGAGGCCGAAGTAGAGACGCTGGACCGCCGCTGGGCGCAGACGTGCGTCGCGGGCGATGTTTCTCCCCCAATCCCCGAGTTTCGCCCGAAAAGTTTCGCCGCTCAGAAAAATGGGAAAACCCTGGGATACACCCCAAGGGGGCCATTCGGACGCACCCCTACCGAGCATGGACACCCCCCCATCGTATATCCCAGGGTTGGGCCTCAAATTTCTGGTCCATTTGGAAACCCCACGAAGCTTGGGATAGGGGTCGACACATCCCCTGTTAGTGCGAGCGGCAGCCGGCCACGGCGGGTTGCAACGTACGGACACGGCGGCGGCCCCGCCGCGGGTGTGCGGGGTGGAACGCCGCCGTCGGCCAACACGAAGCGATCGGGCGATCGAAAGGCCGCCGACAGGAGGCGTGGGAGCGGCGGACGGTTCTCGGAGAGGGAAACAGGTACCGATACTGCTATACCCTTCCCTCGTTTGGGCCTTCGGGGCCTCCTGGGAGGCCCTCGTCGCCATGGCCGAGTTCTGCTCAAAACCTTGTGCAGAACGCACCCTGGGAGAAGTCTGGGGAGCCGCGATATCGCTATCATCTCACGACGTTGTCGATGCTTTTCCCCAGCATCAAGGGGGCGAATGTACCCCCAGCCCACCAGGGAAGGAGCCGCCAGGAGACGACCTGGTGATCACCCCTCGGCAATGCTGATCGTGTCCCTGATGTCCGAAGCATCTGCGTCTCTAGATCGCCCATTATCCGAAAAGCTTCGCCTTCCTCCTAATAGGATCATCTGTAGTTCCCCTGGAAGCCCCTGGTAGCGCAGCAGTGAGCCATGCACCACCGGAGCAGGGCAGGTCAGCTCTCCCAGCGCGCTCCTCTTTCTGTGGGGCGGGGGGGCCCTGCCGCGAGACCCGAAGACGGCGGCACGCATGCCAGCTGGGAGGTGGTGGTACACCTGAGGCGATGCTTAAGAAAACTTAAATTTTCGGCCAGGGTGTCTATTATTCTTAATGTTTCAATATAACTCCTAAGATTTGAATGGAAATTTTGGGTTTTTATTCCAGTTCTGAGACTATGAATTTCTTAACCCATGATTTCTTAAGCATTTCGCAGGGTGTAGGTCGGCCAGCCGGGGGGCCAAGGCTTCCGCGGCGGGGGTGGGGACTGTTTTCCTCGTCCAGTCTGCGCCCCTCCACGGCTCTGAGGATCCCTCCTCTGTCGTTTGTGGGGCCAGGGACCTGCAGGAGGGAATAAGAAACACGGACACCATGAATCGTCGATTCCCCAGAGAATATGGGAAACTGTGGGAAGTGGGGGGGAAGACAAAAGCCACGAAAATCTGGGGAGATCTGGGGAATCCTGTTATTTGAGTGTACTTATTTCTGTGTCCCAGGGCCCCTTCAGACCTGGGAGCTCAGGACGCGGCCGCGTTTCCCGAGCTTCGAGAGGATTCAGATCGAGCTCTCCTGGCGGCCGATGGGCCGAGCGTGCCCTCCAGGACTCGATCGAATCAGCACCCTCGGCACCCATCTCCCTGTCCAGACGAGCAGCTCGGCTCGGCCTCGGAGTGCTGCGGAGCGTCGGACGCTCTCCATACGTCAGGAGAGGAAAAAACGCACAGACACAATTAATCGTCGATTCCCAGGAAAGTATGGGAAAATATGGGAAGTGGGGGGGAAGACAAAAACTCAGAAAATATGGGAAAATATGGGGAATATGTTTTGTATTTATTTGTGTGTCCTGGGGTCCCTTCAATATGCATTCTCTGGTGCTGCCGGTTTTCAGAGAGCCTCTGTGCCCGGTCTGCATTTGTGTGCTGCTCTTGTCGTTGGCAGGCTGACGCCCAATGGCGATTCCAGCAGCCGGCCACTGCCCACAGTGTCGGACGCAGGCAAGCGGATGGACCGTTCGGTACATTCAGTCTTCGAGCTGCAGGGTGCCCGTTTGCCACTGTCTCAAACGTCCCGTAGGGACTCAGAGTCGGAGTTAAGTCGGGCGTGTCCCTCTCCAGGGGGAATATTCAAAAATGGCCAAAAAGTAGTCGGGGACGATGTTTGCTTGACTATGTCGGGGTATATTCGGGGGTAGGTTTTGAGTATTCTGCATTTTTTTCGCCCCAAATCCCCCTGTATCGGGGGAGCGTAAGACCCGGGTTTGCCAGGACTCGGGTTCGCCATCGTTTTTTGACGACCGCGATTCGGATTTTGACGAGGAGGAGCTTCGTGGGATGTCTGCAGCGGGAGGCCTCGTCAAAATGCAGGCTCGGCCTCGTCATTTTTTTGACGACCTCGTCGGGGATTTCCGAGTCCCCTGTACCCAGGTCTTACGTCCCCCTGACTGTAGCGGGACGCGCCCGCCTTAAGCTCAGAGCCATCGTGCCGTGTCGCACGGCGCGGGGGTGCCTTGTCGGCGTCCTCCCAACATATTTATACTATGTGTTCGTCGCCCCCCCAGGGGCGACGCGCGCACCGAGAAATCTTAGTATATGCGTCGTGGCGGGCGCTTTCTGGCCACACCGCTCGGGAAACGATATACGACAAGATGGGTATACTATATGTTCGGGTCGGACGCGCGCCTCCAAGGCGGACACATAGTACTAGTATGTCTCTGTGCATCCCAACCGGCACGCGGGGACGACGACTCCAATCGTCACCACCCACCAAACCACCCCAACCCAACCCGAAGGCCTCAATTTGCCCTCCGTTTCCAGTTGGGGGGGGGTCGGGGAACACGGAAAAAACACATATGGAACCCGTACCCCCCCCAACCCGAAATTGGGGTCTTCGGGTTGGGTTGGGGTGGTCTGGTAGGTAGCCAAATCGGGCAACGCCGCGAGCGTGGGCAGGGTGCAGCGGCTTGCTTGGGCGTCATGGTGCGTTGGATGTCCTCCTCTCCCCGCGAGCCTCAGTGAGCTTCGCCACCGTGCCCACTCCAAAATTTTTTTTTTTGGTGGGACCAAAAATTTTTTTTTTTGGGACCAAAAAATTTTTTGGTCCCAGAAATTTTTTGGTCCCAAAAAAAAAACAAAAAAATTTTTTGGTCCCAAAAAATTTTTTGGTCCCAAAAAAAAAAAATGGTCCCAGCAAAAGAAATTTTTTGGTCCCAAAAAAATTTTTTGGCCCGAGCGATTGACACGGGGGAGGAGTCCAACCGCCCGGTC